TGTCATTTAGACGATGTTTACGGCGATTGACGTCTCGTAACTTGTTCAAACGTATAAATCACGTTCACCCAGAAAAATAACATTTTGGCGATATAAATGATTTTTTTAAGTTTTTCTTAAGCAAACAAAACCTTAAAAAAGACAAAATGACGAGTTCAGTCGAGTGATTACAACGAAGTGCATTTTAAGCCAAAGCAAAGTGGTTTTTTGGCAATTAGCGGCAACCCTGAGCGTCTCCCGCTCACTTAGTCCTAACGCTGCTCAGCGCTCCCGCTCCTTTCCCTGCTTCTGCTACGCTTTTGCCCTGTTCGGTTCGGCGTCGTGCTCGCGCTTGAGATTCACCGCACGCGTCGTTGGAGGTCATCCACCCGATCCTCCTGAAGTCGTATCAGTGCCAGGTCGCCTTAACGCTCCAATGGAAGCGCGGCGACCCCTTCCTAGTCGTGGGGGGGGGCTCCTCCATCATTTGACATATCGCACGACGCGAGAGAGATACAGAAATATATATCTACACAAAACAGTTAGCAGTACACTATTAAAGGATGAAAAAATTCAAAGTAGATAAATAAAAGCTAGATAACTATGGTTCTAGAAAAATCAAGAGGAGGAAAACTGAAGTGGACGACGCGAGCAGGTGACGACGAGGCCTACTAGATAGCTTTATTTTTAAATGCAGTACCTATGTACTGTATAAACTGGAATATAGGTCGAACCGGAACAGAGTGGAATATAGGTCGAACCGGAGTATACGAAAGGACGGAGTATACGAGGATATTTAATTGCTTCGCATGCAATAGAACAGGAAGTGCGAGAGAGTTACTACTAAGATTCTTCAGAACCTTCGTCCGACCACGAGTTCAGAATTGCGCCCTCGAGAGTCCAGAGGCACGAGCGACCTCGACGGCCTTCGTACGGATGCACTCCGACATCACAGGTAGCGATCTGGTGCGCAGATCCCGAATAAAACTTGCCACCTTTGTTTCCAATTCGAGGTACACAGTAGTCCTTCCACAAAATGAAGTTTTCTTCGCCTTGCTGCATGCCACCAGTTTTTGTCTCTGGACTTGCCAGTAGCGTATGCTTTTCTCCTATAGAGCAAACTTTCACTGCGCTGCAAGATTCCCGTAGATCTCTGCATAGGCGATTCCCTTCTTCTTGAAGGCTACCGTGAACTGTCTTCTACTTCCGATCATTATCACTCTGGGAGCGGCAAAGGTAGATGTAACACACCAAGGAGCACAAGTGAAAGTAAATCGTGAGCGTCGTGACAAGTCCACGAGTGCTAGGCGATTGCAAAGAAAAACAAGATGGCAGCTTCAGCCACCCGGTGTTGCGAGATTATTTTTGTTTTTCCACTAACGACCATTATATAAGACACGAGTCAACTTTTTCAGGTCCATTTTCAAAAATAAATCTGACCTATATTCTGTTTTATACGGTAGCTAATTATGACGTTAAAAAATAATTCTGACCCAGAGAACTCACCAGGCATAAATCAAAGTGCATATATTAACACAGGGCAGAAGACTGAGAATGCTAGATCTGATGATGAGAATATGCAAGAGTTATGACACAGATCATATTTACACAGACATAAAACAGAAAACTACGGATATAGTTATGCTGCTGATGACAATGTACAACAAATAATACTATGGTGAGAGAACCCACATTTTGATGGTGAGAGAACCCACATTTTGATGAAGATTTTTTCATTCTCTTTTACATCTTCGCCCACTCTTGCTGTAGCGTTTGAAAATGTTGCCGGGGTTCACATGGAGATAAAAACTGAGAGTTGCCATAGCAACCAAGGCGCTCGGGTGCCGTACAGTATAGACCACTTACAACGTAACCGCTTATAGTGCAGGACCGGGTATAACGTGGCTTTTTTAAACCACCGGTTCGCCTCCCATAGAACTCCACGTAATTACATACCGCCTAAAATGCAGGCGCGCGAAGGGAAATACCGGTTATAGTGCAGTTTCTGGAACAGCCTGCTGACCGCACGCTTCTCTGCGCGACACTAGATAACGGCACTAGCCACGAGCTGCACTCGGCGGGGCAAGGAGGTTGCTCGAAGAAGCGGGAAGAAGCGAAGAGGGAGGCCTCAGTTGCCATAGCGACTGAGGGAGGCATGGACGTGTCGTAAACGTGCGTGCGTCCCTCCGCTGCATTGGAAACAACCGCAACGACAGACCAATCGCAGGTCGAGGAGAAGTGTTCGCGCGCATTGCATGCCGGTCACGGGCCGGCTGCTTCTATCCGCAAACATGGCGTCGGTTGTGATCGTCGCTCATCGTTCCGCGTAAAAGCGCTATCCTTGACAGTGAATTTTCGTTGTGTGTCGCTATGATAACGTAGCACGTACTAGAAGGGAAGATCCACCTACTCGTGCGGCGATGTTGTGGCGGCACTCTCAAAACGGCAGAAACGCCCGTGTTGTCGTGTTTGTTACTTCGACTACAGTGGTCCTTTCTAAGCATTTGTGTTTTCAAACATCGCCCGGATTTCTTATTTGGAGCATTTCGTGCCTGTGCTCAAGTTGAAGGTATTACTGGCGCATACCGTATAAAGGATGCGAATTTTCACGTGTTTTCATCGCCGTAGAAAAGTGATTAGGGTTAGCAATTCTGACGTTAGCAACGTCCGTCCGCAACCCGCGACGCCGTTAAAAGGCTGTGCTAGGCGAAAGTCGCTCATTTCTTTCAAAATGTGTGACACACTTGAGAGAGAAGTACCGTATTTATTCGAATATAAGGCGAGGTTTTTTTCCGAAATCCTTAGTCTCAAAGTCGTACCCCGCCTTATATTCGAAGCTCAGTACAGCAATCCGGCAATTTTGGTGTAACAGTTTCGGTTTCCGCCTTTCAACCATTTCCAAGCTTCCAAAAGAGCCCGACAATACTGTTACAAATCTAACGCAGAGATTTAAGAATAAAACATACAAAATGTTACACAAACGCAAGTTACAGATAGTAACTACCGAGTTTAGGCAGCTGCGATGCAGGAGACGCGATGGCTGCAGACGCCTTCAACCATATCAACGAGCTGAGCCAGCAGTAGCCGCTTCCAAGCCAGTAGTAGCCGCAAAGTTTGTAAACAAGTTGGGACGCCATTTTGCATTTTTTTGTTGGAGTGGCCGAGTCTCTGCGGCAGGATTTTTTCAGTGCTCGCTTATTTACGCTACCAGCGCAATGGCGAGTCACCGTTGCCACTATGATGCAGCCTTCAAGAGGAAGGTTGTATCAGAGGCGGAGGTTTCTGGAAACTGCGCGGCGGGTCGGAAGTTTGGTGTTCCGGAGAACAACGTGCGTCGTTGGCGCAAACAGAAGACTGCGCTGTTCGCCTGCGCAGCGACGAGAAAGGCTTTCCGTGGCCCGCGAAAGGGAGCGTTCCCCGAAGTGGAAGAAGTGCTGACGCAGTTCATCAAAGAGAGGAGAGGCCGCGGTTTGGCCGTTACTTCCGACATCGTGCAGATGAAGGCGCGCGAAATCGCGAGAGAGCGTGGCATCCCCGCTCTCAAGTTCAAAGCTAGCCGGGGCTGGGTGCAGAAATATATGAAGAGGGCCGGATTTTCCTTGCGAAGGCGGACCTCCGTGATGCAGAAGTTGCCCGAGGACTACGAAGAGAAACTAATCTCTTTTCAGAGATATGTTATCGGCCTGCGACGCGACCACGACTTTCTACTCGGGCAGATGGGCAACGCCGACGAAACCCCGATTTTTTTTGACATGCCGTCGCCCCAGACCATTCACCAAAAAGGTGATCGCCAAGTGAGCCTGCGCACTACAGGCAACGAGAAGGCTAGGATCACTGTTATGTTAGCCTGCACCGCCGATGGGCGGAAGTTGCCCCCCTTCATCATCCTGAAGAGAAAGACCTTTCCGAAGAACGAGGTCTTCCCGCAGAACGTCCACATTCGTTGCCAGGAGAAGGGGTGGATGACGGAAGAGCTTTTTCTGAACTGGATTAAGTCGGTGTGGTGCCGAAGACCAGGGGCACTGCTCGCCCGGAGGTCAATGCTGGTCCTCGACGCGTTCCGCGGACATCTCACGGAGGGTGTGAAGAAGAAGCTGGTGGACGAACGCACGGAGCTGGTCGTCATCCCGGGGGGCATGACAAGCCAACTACAGCCGCTTGACGTTTGTCTTAACAGGCCCTTTAAGGCACACGTCAGACGGCTGTACAATGAATGGATGGCGTCTGACACTGTGGCCCTCACGCCGTCGGGACGTCTAAAGCGGGCGTCCCCGTCTATGCTCGCCCAGTGGGTGGTCGACGCATGGGCAGCGATCCCCGAAGCTATGGTTGCAGCATCGTTCCGCAAGTGCTGCATTTCCAATGCCCTTGACGGCACCGAAGACGCTGACCTCTTTGAGTGCGAAAGTGATAAGGATGATTCGGATGCTACCACTTCTGAAGACAACAGCTTCTAAGTTTGTCTTTCGTCTCGCTCCGAATAGGTAAATATCTTTGTGTGCAGATAGTTCAAATACTTGTGTCTGCTTCGCTGAAAGATAAGGAATTTAATTGCCTTCTTTCGTTTCTTTCGCCTTATATTAGTGTGCAAACTTTTTTCTTTTTCTTTGGTCCTTCAACTGCCCCCTCGCCTTATAATCGTGACCGCCTTATATTCGAATAAATACGGTATTGTGAAATAAAGACTTTCCTCAAACTAAGCTTTATTTTTCATCTAACATAAAATAAATTGTGTTACAAAGGTAAGTTGTCTGATGGCATGTATTTTGGCCTGAAAAATTGATGTTTTGGTTATAGCGCGGTACCGCTTATAGTGCAGATTTTCGCGACTCCCGCGACATACGTTATATGCGGTCTACACTGTAGTAACTTGCAGTCATGTCTCAATATGAGCCTCTGCAAAGTAGTCAAACGCTACAAATATTTACAACCAGTGCTTTGTTGGCAATAGTCAATGTCTCACAATGCCATCAGAGGACAACGCCCCTACACCAACGAGGCCGGGATGATGTGGTACGTACGGAGGAAATCCTGGAGCCGATCGCGTGATTCGCTGCCACGCTGCATGCACCCGTTGCCGTAGGAGCCCTTGCTGTCGCTGGAGGGCGCCACTGCCGCCGACCACCTTGGCCGGGTCCACCTAGACCATGGAAATCGACCCATGAAACATCGCTAACTCGGTAGAATGAGATCTTGTCTTCCGAGCATTAAAGATAACTCATTCACTAAACCTAACCAACTGTTTTTATCTTGCATATTTACGAAAGAAACTTATCAATATATAGGTAGCTGCATTCCTCGGCCAACTTCAGGCTGCTCCGCGCACCTTATACCGAAAGAATAAAAGGAGAGCAAACTGTGCCATCGAATTTGTTATTTAATGAACATAGTTTTTAAATAGGTGCTGCAATTCAGAATAAGCCATTTTCAAAAGTCAGTTTACCTACTCTGTGCAGAGCCAAACCGGATGCCTTAATGGCGGCATCACACAGCGTCTCCACACAGAAAAGCAAACATCTTCAGGGAAAAGCAAACATCTTCAAAAGCATATATCAGAAAGCGAGGAATGGATTTTACGATGATGACTCTCGTGTGTCGCCCTTGGCTCACGAAGTGGAGGGTGCACGATATAGCCGATTTTGTTTTCCCAGCACCGCCATTAGCGCGGCAATATCGGGACTTTTGACACTGCCACCAGTTGACTCTTACCGTACAAAAGGGCCTATTGTATTACCAAAAAAGTGCACGTAAGAGACTGACGAGCACTTTACTGTACAACACAAACACCTGCATAATGCAAACAAGTTTAGGTATAATGGAGGCTTAATTAAAACTTCCCAATTTTCTAATATGCCATTTATTTATTTTTTATTTTACGGGAAAGAAACAAAAAAAAAAAAGGCAAAAAACAACCGCATCTCTACGTGGTGAATGATGTTGATTGGGGCGAAGCTCTGGTGGTTCTTGTCTGCGTGGACGGTGAGCCGCAGCATGCCGAGCCTTTCGTTCGTTTTCATCCATGTCAGAAAAAGAATGTGTGGTATGGAACGTGGCTACATATGCATTTGAGCATTTGACCGCAGGGCCCTCTCGTCTATAAACGTTAAGCCAATGCATGCAAAGTTTAACGCGATTATATACGCATTTGACCACGGGGCCCTCTCCTGTATAGACGTTGAGCGACTACATGCAACGTTTCATCCATGACATCCCCAGCTCTTGAGTTACTACCACATCTCGGAGCCCCCTACTCGTTGGGTGCGCAGTCGTGGTCAAGTGGTTAAGGTGATGGACTAGAAATCCATTGGGGTCTCCCCGCACAGGTTCGAATCCTGTTGACTGCGCAAACATTTTTTTTTTCATCATTTTTCTTTTTGCTTTACACGAGCACGTGAGCTCACGAGTACGATCAGCAGCAAGATCGATGTAAGCACGGATGCCGGACAGACAAGGCTACATCCTAAGGAGCTTTGCCCCTAAAAAGAATACAATCAGTGTCATCCATTCTCTAGCTCTCAGCTGTTATTTTTGGCCGTCGCGGTTCTCAAACTTTTTGGCCGTCACTAACCCCCCGACCCGCTCCGAGGCCGTTTGAGCTCCCCGAATGCCTTCTGCATCACAGGTATTACGCGACGCCATAGGAAGGCTTTTTTATTATTAGTCGCAGACCTCCATGAATACTTTCAAAGACCCCTGGGAAACAGCGCCGCCATGTGCATTCACCGACGAGGCACGATTTACTCCTACAAAACATTTTTTTGCTCTTGTAGCCCCAGAAAAAGAGCAGTGAAAGAAAAAAAGATATATACTTCTGCTGTAGCAGGAGTACAACCTGGGTAAAAATTAATTCCAACACCACACCTTTCGATGTTCATATCTACTACACGTTCCAGTTGACCACTGTCCCGTGGAAGGCCAGCCACCCACCTCGCACTCCTCGCTCGAACTGAGCACGTCCCGAACAAGTCCGCCGAGCGTCTCGTGCAGGTATCCGTCGCCCAGGAGCTTGAGGTAGGCCTCGGTGGCCTTGGTGGCCAGTGAATTTCCTCGAAACGTCAGGTGCTGGTCCTCTGGGAGGCGAGACAGACACGCGTCGCAAGATCCTTATAGTCGCCGCACAACACCCCCATTGGTTCCATGTCCTACTTCCGACACGTGACAGAAATGCGGAACTTCTAACTTTCAATCAAGAGCCATGTCTTGCGTGACCCAACGATAACCTTATTACGAGCAAGCGTAGCCATTATCGTTTCTGTAGAACGTAACGAATAATGTAGCCATTTTCTCGAAGGTCTTTGTTTTTGTCTGGGCTACCCCGCACTCCCAAGCACCCGGCCTTTGTAAACTAAACCGTGTATGTCGGCAGAAGAGCGTGATGTTTAACTTGCGTGTCTGCCACATTCAATCCATAAAATATCACAAATTTTATTCCGAGCGCTTTAGTTTCTTTTTCAAGGACTTGACTAAATCGACGACGGACGCCTTACTACGCCAACTACGACGTCAACGACGACAACTACAGCATCAACAACAAACGTCACTTCTAGTGGTCGGAAAGGCCCACAACGGCTATTCCCGTAAAAATTGTATTTGTGTTGCGCAGATGTATAGCCAGCGGAAAATTAGTCATCCCCAACGAGCAACTGGTGCCTCCGCTACAGACGAAAAATTTACACAGTGCAGCACCACTGCTAGCCTCGGCCTTTAGCGTGCATCACGCAGTAGTAACGCGAGGTTGCACGCCGGTAGCATGCTGATCAAGATCAAAACGGGCAGGGGTGGGGATTGAACCAAGGATTGCTGGGTTCTGCAGCGCGAGCTTTCAATCCATGTGCTCCGAGCTGTGGTGTGTCAACACGTGCGGCCACCGATACTCCCCGAAAAGGGCCAGTGTTTAGAAAATACAAGAACACCGCCGCAGACGGTGCCTTACCGATCTCCTGCAGGTCTGCCATGACGAGCTCCGTGAGGAACTCGCGTGCCATGTTCTCTCGGTGCATGACGGACACCAGTCCCGTGGCAATCTCCTCCTAAGGAAAGGATGACGACGATCGTCGACACGACGCAAAAGCAACGAAGTTTGTTTTAAGTCTTTTGCAAAATGTTGAGGCTCGAACAAAAGAAAAGCATAGAAAACATAGGTTGTAGAACCTGTCTCCAGGTTAGAATGAAAGAAAAAGACGCACGAGTTTCGTGCCATCAAAAACGTTAAAAAATATGTGCATGTCATTGCAGCTGTCTGTTTCACTAGATGCATTATGCAGTATTTATGCAATTTTGAGCATCTCTGAGAGCACGCACACCTCGAATAATGGGCCCTCCCCTTCCTTGGCCGTCTCCGTTTTAATGGGGTACTACAACGAAACTCTAACGCCTATTTTATTGTCTAAATGTCAACCATGTTCTGGCCACACCACAGACACCAATTTTTTGCTCGAAAAGGCACCCAAAACATTATTTATAACTAATAAACCGATCACCAGATTGCACCTGGGAGATGTTCCCAAAGCTACCTGGAATGGCGTTATGTCCCCCTTTTCATAAAATCAGTGCCATTCCGCGGACGTACGGCAGCCAGCTGTGTGGGCGCCCTCCCCGTCAAACTTGGCCAAACGAGATTTCCCTTCTCTCGCGAGTCTTCTATTAAATTCCTTGGGGGAGCAGGGAGGGGAGTTTAAAGGAGAGATAAGCCACTTCTTCACCTCCACTGGCACTGCCGACCCAATCATCAGCTATCTCAAACGGCCAGGTTTTAACGCATTGAAACCGCCAAGTGGCAAAGTTCACAGCCAAGCCACCTTCCCTGTATCCTTGCCAGTGAAGGTAAACATGACATTACAAGCACGCTGGATTCGTCATCCCAATTCATCTCTCGAATCATCATCCCGATTCGTCTCGATTCGTCCCGAAGCATCCCGATTCGTCTCTCGAGACGAATCGGGATTTCCGATGGCTGCTCTTGGAGCGCTCGCTCGAATCGACCATTTGGAACAAAAACTAAGACCATCCGTTCAAAATACAAACGTGCAATCACCATTAGCAAGTATGGTTGATCACGTTTAACTTATTCCTGAATGCAAGAGGTATATTTCAATTTTTATTTCAGTATACCTTAAAAGAAAAGGAGGTGCTGAGAATGGAGTAAACACATACTGTGGATGTCTTCCCACTCTTCCAGATGCAAAAGAAATTCATCCAACTCTGCAAACTTCTCGACCAAAGCAATTGCTCCAGAAGCTCTAGTTTTTATTTCAATACCAATGTTTAAATTCTCCCCTCAAATTCTCCAGAACTTAGAGAAAAACAAAAAAAAAAAAGGACTTTTTTTTCTTGAATTCTATTGGCTTTCCACAATTTTCTGAAGATTAACCCACCTTGAGTCGGACTCCGAGGACAGGCTCCAGCAGGCGACACAGCTCGCCAAAGTTCTGCTTCAGGTACTGCGTCCACGGGTGGGAGGAAGCAAGCCAGGGACCATGTAGTCTTTTGCACTCCTAACTACGCTAATAAAAACATCAAACTAATTTAAATTTTTTTTTTTTTTTTTTTTTTTTTTTTTAGGGTCAAAAGAAAAAAAAACTTGGGACCATTGCAAAATTGGTTTCAAAAGCACAAGGAGGGACAGCCACTTCTCCTAGGCACAAAGGGTTTCAGAGAGATTCCGAATAGTGCTTTTTCCTGCTGTTCACAATCCACTATGCACTGTGGCAACTAGGCTCTTCTAGTTATGGAGGGGTCCAAAACTCGGGCACGTCCCGAAGTCGGATGATTCAAGCAGGGCTTCACTGCGCCGCAGTTGCAACAGTGTTACGGTGACATAACCTCACGAGGAAGCAAATAATTCTCAGATTCCGCACATGCCTCCTCCATTTCAAGGCCCTTCTAATCAAGACAGGCAGATTCCTTTCTCTCTACAGCACAAATGCAGCCACTGTAAGGACGTGAACAAAAAGGCAACTCTTTCAAACGTCTCCGATACGCACTCGCTGCCTTTCGCCGTGCTCTGCCTGCGCAAGCACACCCGAAGCAGATGAAATGCTGACATGTTATCGAATTAGGAAGCTAGCGCTGGAGGCGGGACAACTGGATGACTTTTCTGTCACCCCAATTCCGTCATTGACTATAATTCCAGCGAAGACCAAGTTCTGTCCGGCTTGAAGAAGACGCAATCGGAAGGGAGGTACCTGTAGGAAGGGGTCGTAGCTGGCCAGGGGCATCACCTCCATGGACTGGTAGCGCCACTTTAGACGCACCGAGGGCCACTCCTTGGAGCCACCGGGAGGCTTGTCTGCCGACAGCGCATACCTGCGAGCACGCGCAACAGAGCGGTTGTTCATGGCTCTCCGCAATTACAGAGCTGGCGGGACCACGGGCACTGCCGTGGTGCCCGCTGTCTTCTCTATTCCAAGTTACGAGCAAGTCTGTTTCAACCCACCATTTTTCCGTCGCTTGATGTCCTCGAGCCGCCACCAGTGGAATGGTCACAGTGCCTGTGCGGTAGGCACGTGTCAGGGTATATGCTGCAGACTCGTCGTGTGTACTGACCCCCAGAATAATACAAGACCCCAACATCTTCTCCCCTGGCTGTTCAGAAGCTTTTACTTTTTTTTGTGGCTCAATATCACTTTGCTACATTATTCTTACGACACCTTATTACATTCGAAAGCTCACATTTAACACAAACAATTGTGACAGAAAAAATGTGCCCAAAGTTTCACCCCAATGACAGTAAACGTGCAATAGCGCCGAAAGAAGTCATTTGTAATAGAAAAGTGTGAAGGAACAAAAGCTGCAGAGGAGCAAGCCCAAATTATTGATACTTGCCCAGAGACAGTCCCTTGTCCCGACGCTTCCTTTTGTCTGGCTCCCTGAACAGGGACACACTCAAGGACTCCAGGGGTGGCAGGTGGCTAGAGAACAAAAAAAGGCAAAGAAACAGGTCTTAATCTATGCAGGTTTGTATGCTCAAATCCGTCACGATTACCACGGAACCCCACGTTCATAATACTAACCAACCTTGGAGGAACCATGAAACAATGTTGGATTCGACTTTTAATAACTGTGCATCGTACAGTGAGACATGAGTTTGCACATGAGGGTAAGAAACCAGAAACATGATTTGCAATGTGAAACTTTGGCCAATTGTGGCTTGTGGATTGGAGACAAGCTTGGCTTCCGCCCTGAACAATCAATCTGTTGGTAAATATTTGAATTTACGAACAAATGCTGCACTGCCAAAAATAGCCAAACTCTAGCAATGTCCAAAAAGCATACGGTGTGGGCATACCCAACACACGGACCAGCAATGTTAAGTCAATCTATCGTTAGAAAACTAAAGCAATGTTCAGCATTTTTCTTCACTAGATACTAAGAAGAATGCCTGAAGAATATGACTAGGAATAATATTTTGTAAAAAGTAATTTGTTTCCATAAGAACACAAGCACACTTTTTCATTAAACTTTAGCCAGAAAAACAAAGAATGAGCCTCTTTTTATAGTCCCATTATCAAGTGATAATGAACTTTACAGATTCACTAAAATTAAATTTATATCATAAATATGAAATGCAGGAAACTGCATTCAAAGTCTCCAGCCAATTACATTTTGTTTAGCATCGGCACACCAAAAATAGCCACTAACTTTTGTTTTCTAATGTCAGGTTTTCCAGGTACCGACGAGAAGTTTACTATGCAATGTTAATTAAACATTTCGGGAGTACTCTTCAGATGTTGGTAAAGCTAAATATGATCATTTCAAATCTCAATGCTTCCCTAAAAAAAAAAAAATCTAGGTCAACTTTTTTTAAACGACTGTGTGACTTCAGTTGAAGCAACAAGTGACTCAGAAATTAAACATCAACATCACAATGACATAGCGAATGGTTTTATGAACAGTATGTCATTTCACTCAATGCCATTCAACTGTTCTGAAACACATTTTTATGAGGTCACTTTTTGGGAGATTTTTAGCTCGGCCACGACACAACACAGCATAGCAAGTGCCAAGGAAGTGAAAACCCTTCAACCAAATCCTTCAGAGCCGAACTCCCAACACAAGCGCACGGCGCTCTCGACATGGCACGGCCAGAAGAGAAGACCCACCTGAACTCAAACTGCTCCCCCCAGAAGCAGAGGCTGCCCTTGAGCTTGGACGAGGTGCGGGCGTACAGGGTCCCGTCCAGGCGCAGCTCGCAGAAGTAGCGCTTCTTGGCGGGGATGCCCTTGGCCTCGAGCACCCAGAGCCGGAGCGAGTTCTCGGTGCGCCTGCGGGCGTCCCGGTCGGGCTGGGTCCCCTGGCGCAGTCGGTGCAGCCACTGCAGGCACTGCTGGCGCGAGCGGCAGGCGAACACGCAGGTGGGGCCCTCCTGGGGCCCCAGGCTGAAGCAGTGCTCCCTGCCCGAGGGCCCCAGGGGCAGGCTCGGGTGCAGGGGCCCCAGGCGCGCCCCCTCGAGGGCCACGCAGGGCGCGGGGGGACCCTGCAGCAGGGACTCGTGCGACCGCGAGCTGCGCAGCCGCGGCGGGGCCTCGATGACGCGTTGGCCACGCTCCAGCTTGGTCACGCTCTTGGTGCGCTTCAGCGGGTTTTGCTTCAGCGACCGCTTCGAGAAGAAGCTCTGCGACGGACACGTTGGCCACGTTTAACAGACCTTCGATTGCTTTGGGGAGTTTTTCGACCTTTTGAGCGAAAATGTGAACTCTATGCATATCCAAATAAAACTGTGTCCAAATGTCACGCCAACCAATTACCACAATTTTCTCATCAGGCAATCATGGTTATTACATTTTAGTCTATTTTTTGAGGGTCACCATTGTCAAAATAAAGTTGTAAAAGCAAAAGTTACTTCGACCACGAATGAGGAGAGGCCCAAAAGTCTGATTAATTTTACAAAAACAATATAAGTACCTTCATCATTACTTTTTTCTTTGACAGCTTACTTATTCAGAACTTTTCAACCTAATCACCACTTATCTTGACACATTTCTTGACACAATTAATTAATTTTGCATTATACTCCCAAAAAATATACTTCATAGGTTCATTGCGGCCCAAGAACTAGTTTGGTTCAAGCTCCACCTTATTCTTGTAATCTGGCACCAGCTGCTTTCTGGCTTTCCCACAAAGGTCCTTCCTAAGCACAAAGAAAGCTACGAGGACCGTGATCATGTCACAAGGATCATCCAAGAACGAATGAACAACTGACGAAAAAGAATTTTTCCGAGTGCTACGAAAAAATTTATATGTTGTCCAAGAAATTATGAAATTAGCGGCAAATTATGTTTCTAAGTGTTAGCTAAATACGCTTTCAAATTAAGAAAAAGAAAGAAAATTACCCGGGTAGTTATTTTATTTCTTCAGAACTAAACTGGTTGTTGGCCTTCTCACGTACAACCTTGAAACCTTTTGGTCATAGATGATGTGGATGCAATGCTCGCTTCTGTACATTTCCACACTCCTTTTGAGAGAGGAGTCACCTAGCTCTATCATACTAGCAGTCGGATACAAGTTAAGATTGTGCTAGAAGCTCCACCTCCAATAAGAGCTCTCTGCCCTCCACACCACTTTAGAGTTTTGCGAGCTTGTGCAGCAAAAGCACGATGGAAGGCGACGAGCACGGGCCGAGAGGCAAAGCCTTTGGCGCATTCTTAACTTGCATCCGCCCCTCCATCACCACAACAAAGAATCACCCAGACAGAGCGGAAGAGCAACCGACACACAAAGTGAGGGCTCAGGTCAATACGCTAACCCCAGCACCAAGTGCACCACCAACGTTCCACTGAGACTGGACGTCCTGTGGGTCGGGAGGTGGGGTGGAGGGAGAGGGAGAGAATGTGGGGGGGGTACTCACCACAATGCGGGAGGGTGTGGCCGCTGTCTCGGAGACCCGAGAGCCCAGGACCGGGGTGCTGGGCACGCTCCCGTGGGGGCCCTCCCAGCGGCTCCGCTCCTGAGTCGCCTCTGCATATGGACGCAAGAACTCCGTAAGGAGGGAGACTCTGGGGGGGATGAGCAATCTCAAAGACTACCGGAAACACGCGCGACCAAAGGTGTTGCCGTGGTCGGCGGATTCGATTGGCCGAACGCTCACTATGGTGCTTTATAAGAGCAATGTCGGACTGGCAATTTCGACGGTGTAGGCGTAAGCAAGTAACGACTCCAGGCTTCCACCGTCCTTTTTACACACACCGTCAAGCTTGCCGTTCGCAACCATTGATAAGTAGCCCAAATCACAACTCGCGACGTCGCAGCGAGGGAAGTCCCAGTCGCGACGTCACGAATGGGAACCGTAGCGGGGCGCCACCGAACGTCTCGCAAGCTTGCTTTAGTGCTGAAAAAAGCATAGGCGCGAGAATGTAGGTTTCGAAAGCTCTTTCTACGCGCGAGTGTTCGTGCGCACAAAGTAATCTGCATAGCCACGCTTTAACGCCCATGCCTTTACCAGCACTGAGGCCGATTTGTGAGATGGAGAATAGTAGCTGGGGATTGTAGGAGGACAGTTAAATAATAATGACAAGTTTCTTGCGGTGCCAAATTATGTTCGAGGGCATTGCACCAAGATCATTAATCCCAGTTTGATGAGCCCTTATCTTAGGCTAATTTTTGTATCTCTTTTATTTTCCCCGAGCTCCCAGTTCCCCGACTACAAAGGATTAGCAGCGATGCCACGTTTCACGGTAAGCGCAAGAAAAGCAGAATCTACCAGGAGCAAGCACTATGTTTTGCACAGGCTTGCCGTGCATGCAGCTCGTGAGGCGAAAATTCCACTCAAGGCAACATTCAAGCTATTCACTCACACCTATGATGAAACAAAGAATGTGGTAGTAATTCAGGTTCCCTTCAATACCTTTCAATCATCCCTCTCTCTCTCAAGGAAAATATAATGATAATGAACAAAGACACATAAGCAACTGCATTATTCCAGTTAGTTTGATATAGTCAGAAACAATAAATAGGAAAGTCTGATTTGGGGGGGGGGGGGGGGGGGGGGGTTAGCAAATCTGGCATCATCTACTTAGAATAAGAACTGATAGCACCCGAGCCATGTCATTGAGTCATAAGTGCTGCATCATTAAGAAAATCAGACAAAGCAAAGATGAAGATAGAAAGAACACTTACACAATATTTGTGAGAGATTATCAGAAAATACACTTTTGGCAGTTTAGTTGATTAAAGGGGCAGTGCAACGATTTTCAGACTTTGGCCAATTAACTGCGGAAATTAATCTGCGTCACCTATGGAACGAAAAACCGAAAGCTGCATTTTCTTGCGAGCGCTAGTTCTTATTTTAAAAAAATGAAACAAATCCAAGGTCGAAGTGTCTCTCAACTCTCCAAGCCAACTTTCGAGTGACGTCTCTGGGGGTTCACGTGGTTTCCCCTTGGGCCCTCTCTTCAGAGCACTGTTGCGGAGTTGCCACTCCGGAGTTGGAATGATTCCGGAATCATTCCGCATTTTTGCGACCCCGGAATGGAATGGGAATGGAATGGCGGCAACGTTCAGGGGAATGGAATGGGAATGGAATTAGATGCCTTTCGCCCGGAATGGCATGGGAATGGAATGGGCCAGGTTTTTATATTTTACTTATTTATTTATTTATTTTTTACGTTCAACTATATCGAGCCAGTCAGGGAGTCGGTTGTTCAGAAAGAAAATGAGCGGGGAACTGCGAACCCGCGTAAGGCCCTAGCAGACTTATGCGCAAAAGAAAAAAATGCAATACAAAAAACAAGCGTCAAAGCAAAGAACAGAGGGGGGAGGGGAGGGGGGGGGGGGGGGGGCGGGCGGCGGTGGCGTTTTTTACCAGTGAAGTTCAACACATATCCGAATGCGTCTGCGCCTGTAATATTGCACGGCTGGTACGCCATCAGCCGACGTGAACGTGACCTGCTGCTGTGGAAATCCGATACCCAGGAAGGAGGCCAGACGTGGCCTCGCTGTGCGGACCCAGACTCCGTACACTTTTGACTCGTCTGGAGCGTGCTGTTTCTCGAAGAGCTCGCACCTGTGCCGGCCATCTCAGGTCGCAATCCACGAGGTCTCTGTTTGAATGATGCTAGGCGAAACTTGAAGACTGCCATTCATGCGTTGGAGGCGGAGAGTAGGCAGGAAGGACCGTCACAACAGGGATGCCACCGTATCGATTTTTCAACCGTAACAGAAGATAATACATGTGGTTCAGGATGCTTCAGGTGGTCCACTTTTCTCGAAAATTCCAAATGCAACTGCCTGCATGGTCTTCAACGAGGTCAGCTACAACGAAAGTATGCATTGTCCTTTCATACAGCAGCGTGGGTAAAGTTTCATGTTCAAGGCAACACCTACGGATTCAAGAATACTAGTTCATCCCACCGTGACATCATGTGATCAGTGCTGACAGGGGCGCCCTTATTGGACAGGGAAGTGGTGATGTTTTGATGGAATTTATTTTAGAGGTCGGAGTCTTTTCGCATCACTGGTCAGTCAGACAGGATGCCAGGGAAGGGACCGCGGACAATCCTTGATTGAACGTGTTTTAAACCCATTTAGAACTCTTCGTCCGGAACCACTACCTTCAAGGAGAAGTAGAAGTGCCAAGCCTGCAAAAAAATAATTTCGAGACCAAAAAAAAAAAAAAAAAAAAAAACCTTCCACTTTAAACTTAAAGCCTCATCTCAGTTGGCGTCTCAAAGAAATTTGAAAAAAAATTATTGTATTAGCAGCATTTATATTTCTGCCCTCCCTAAAATGTATTCTTGTATTTGTATTTCCAAAGACTTTTTGCCTCTTTTTAAAATGTATTTCCGATACGTATCACGATACATTTTTATAGATATATTTGAGACTTGAGTATCAGTATCTTAGCAACTATTTTCATCTATCCCAGTATTTGTATTTCCAAATACATTTCTGAATGTTTCTGCCCAACCCTGTAGCGTAATGCAGCTGTCAAGTGACACTTTTAACGTTTAGGAATTGGAGGAATGGAATGGAGCGACTCAGCCATTCCAGGAGTGGGAATGGGCCCAGTGTCCCCATTCCTAGGAGTTGAAAGGAATGGAATTATCGAAAACTCTAATTCCCCGGAATGGAATTGGAATGGAATGGGGGTGCCCATTCCGCAACACTGCTTCAGAGACCCCAGCCACTTCCTCCGCGATTGTCGACTTTCAAAGGATTAGCCTCGTCAAAGGTTGCGGCGAGCAATGGACACAAAGGACGGTTCGCCACAGGGCTGACAGCGAGTGTAGCAGCGGAGGGGGACAGGGTTAGTTGACTTCCGCGTATCCCCGAGAGACGCCGTCATTTTAGTTCCCGTAACCGCCACCGGCGGCTGCAGATCGGCAAATAATTTGTTTTTTGCCTTGCGATTACGCAGCAGAATAGCCTTTTTTTGGGGAAAGCAACACGTTTTTGGTCACTTGGGCTTGTATAAACAACATAAAAATGCAAACTGGCAATTCTTTCAACATTAAAACCATTGCACTACCCCTTTAAAGCTGCCTGGGACGCGCCAGTAAAGAACTTGAGATGGTGCCTAGAAAGCTTTTAAGATTCGATCACTCAGGCAGTTGTACTAAGCCTAGGCTGCAATAAGTCTTCATCCTATTGCAGGAAATCTGACACAGATTTTAATTTACCAGAGCAACTATGACTAAAGATTAAAAAAAATGATAAGCTTGCCTTTGTGACGCCCAAATTCAAGTTGATGCTTACCAGGAAATGGTCATTCGAGCATTTCATAATATTATTAATATAAACACGCCATCACAAGCTCCTTCTGCATCCTCCCTAACTGTCCAGGCGAACGTCGGAAGATACTTTTTAGAGACAAGACGAACCGGAAGGGAGATATAAGTTTCCCACAGAGTCGGGTTACATTCTGCCCAAAGACGCGTCTCCGTCTTAACGAGGTCGAGCAGCACCCTCTGTGTCTTGCTGCCATCCCAATGAAAATTGTGGGAAATCGTGACAACTCATCTGTCCTTCGCCATGAGAATTTGTTAAAGCATGCCACAACATTGTTTTGACAACACCCTACAAAGTGATAAAGGAACGCTAATGTAGAAATCACCAGTGTAACAGACAGCCAATCATTCTTTGCCACAGCCGACAGCAATGGGTCAAAATGCTAACCCTAATTGTCCGAATGGCTACCGATTATTCGATTGCGATTAAACCCAAGCAAAGTACATAGTTTTTAAGCTAGTAAATAAACGAGACCACAACTGAATAAAAATACAATTCAGAAATTTAAAACCAAAAGTGAGCGAGCAAAAATATTTTGGGGTTCGGTTTACATTAGAACTGTCATGAAGTAGTCATATAGCTAAGCTAAAAGCTGACCTATGTAAAACTATTGGTATACTAATGTATAAAATAAAAAAAGAATTATTCTGTGCTGGTTTGGATTACTTTTTATTTTGCTCTATATGCTTAAGCTACATACTTTCAGTTTGGGGAACGACAGCCTCCACAAATTATATTAAATTAATAACACTTTTAAGAAATGTTTCGTGCATGTTCATATACTACAAAGGGGATAATAGAAACCTGCATGCTGAACCATTCTTCTATAAGCATAACACGTACAAGGCAAATTAGATTTGCTACTTCAAACTGCTTCAATGGATTCACAGGAATAAAATTGATATCACCCTTGAGGACAAACTAACACCAGCGTATAAGACGCCAGATAAAAAAGTATCTAGCGTTAGGACTAATTATGCCTGACAAAGACTGGCTCTCCAAGCTAGTTGGGAAAGCTAATGTTTGTCACCCAACTGTCAAGAAATCCGAGGAACAGGGAACAAGTTTTGAAGTTTTGATATCACAATTTAAACAAGATCGTTGAATATCTCTCGTTAGTAGGGATCTTACTTTTTTTTTTTTATGGTCTGTTCAATTTTTTTTTTTTAATGTTTCTGATCTTTTCTTTCTACATGATTCTTTGGTGACAAAATGTTTTGGCTTGTTTACTG